GGAGTCATTCTATTTTTCTTATTTTTTAAAAAAATTATTTATTATTTTTATTTTATGTGTATGCATGTATTGCCTGCTTGTAGTTAAGTGCACCCATGTCATGCAATGCCTGCAGAGGTCAGAAGAGTTTGTCAGATCCCCTGGGACTGGAGTTACAAGACAGTTGTTAGCTGCCATGCTGGGATTCGAACCTGGGTCTTCTGCAAGAATAACTAGTGTTCTTAACCACTGATCCATCCCTCCAGCCCCCATTTTATTTTTCAAAATTGTATTTTCCATTTCTGTTTAAATGATGTAATGGTAACATATAAAATGTTATAATTTTAATGATGACTGAAGTATTTATAATAAATCCACTACATAGAAAGTACCCAGTAATATTTCATCATTATTATTATTGCTGTTTTGAATGTGTCCTGGCACTGCTAGAATGTTGGGTTTGTACATTCTGAGATGTCAGTAGCGAAGAGGAGGAGCCTTCTTCCTCCTTAACACCACTGCTGTCTTGAGTAATCTTGATTCTACTTAGAAAAACCAACGGAAAGCATTTGTTTTGGCATGTGGAAACCGTGTGTCAACTTAATCATGATCTAATAATCAGAGCCCAAGTAATATTAATTACATAATGAGAATGAGTAAGATTTTTTTAAAAATTTTTACTTACTGGTTCAAATGCTAAGAAATGGATGTGAAGGAGGTAAAGCTGTGAGTGGATGCAGAGGCGTGGTTGACTCATTCAGGCAACCCCACCTGTCCTTATGGACTGACAGTGAATTATACTTGGTCATTGTTCAAGTGCTGACCACTGATGAGGCTTAGAGAAGGATAGTCTTTCCTTTATAGTCAACAGTGACCTCAGGCTTGACCATGAAGGATCTGAATACCAGGTTGTCCTGATTAATTATAAATTAAAATAGAAGAGTGAAGCATTCTATGACTGTTGGACTATGTTAGCATCCTACATGATCCAAAAAGACAGAAAAATGATTGATCAAGGAAGAAAGAAAAGAAGGGAAGAAAGGAAGAAGGGAGACGCTATACAAATTTTCTGTTGTGTGCATGCATACGTGTGTGTGTGTGTGTACATACGTGCACACAGGCATGTGGTATGTGCTATAGGTAAACTGTGCTCTCCCTCCATATCCCTATGCCTCAGTCTTACCTGGAGATATTGGCCAGTCTTACAGTGTTCTTCCAAGGAATTTGAAGTCACTGTCTTATTGTTATCTCCAAACACATGTATGTGTTATAATGTCCGTGTCGTCTCTAGATGCAGTGCAGACTGAAGTTTTGTGTCTTTAAAGACTCCTCAGTCATGCAAGTCAGGAGGAGCTGCTGATTTTTCAAATGGAATGTCTCCCGAGTCTTAATCCCAGACCTGTTAGTTAGAGAAGATGGGGCAAGTGTCCAACAACCAGTTATCCCTTCTAGACTGTGGTTACCTCAGTCCCAGGCCTGTCACAAATGCCTCCTTTTAGAGTGAGCAAGCCTGGGACCCCTGAGGCAACTTTGCTCCTGAGTGAGCTTCAGATTAGCTTTGTTATGCCAGCCATTGCTGGGTAGGCCCTTCCCTATCCTGGTTCCCTATCAGAACCAGTTGTCATGGATAAAATATAGCATGTTCCAGAACATACATACAAAGTAAAGAATAGAATAGATCAAAGGTCACAATCATTATCTTCAAATGCCACGTAAAAGAGAGCTTTATTGTTCTCTATGACCCCTGCTAGCAGAGTTAAAACCAGTATGTAGACACTGTACTTGGTGTGCTGTGTCCGGTTCTATTTATCTATTTATTTATTTTAGTAAATATAGCTTCCTGAGTCTGGGGGCACGGCACAGTGGGTACAAGACACTGAATTTGGTCCATATACACATTATATATGGATATATATTATGCATAATAATGCACAAATATCTGCAGTTTAAGGATAATTTCGTGCCTATTTCCTCACAACTCAGTTTGAATAGCACATGATATAATACTTCAGGATCTTAGCGTGTGCCTCTTTCCTCTCATATTAAGCCGGGCATGGTGGCGCACGTCTGTAATCCCAGCACTCGGGAGGCAGAGGCAGGTGGATCTCTGTGAGTTCAAGGTCAACCTGGTCTACATAGTGAGTCCAAGCCAGCTGGGGCTACAGTCAGCAGGGACTTGCCATGGCAGCGGGTTTTAGTGGACAAGCTTTTAAAAAAAAAAAAAAAAAAAAAAAAAAAAAAAAAGAAAGAAAGAAACTCCTCAGGATCATTTTTCTTTCTCTGTACATTTTCCTATGTGTCTGTATGTCTATTCTCCACATTGCTTTGGATTTGCCTATTTTTGTTCTTCGTGTGAATGAGACACTTTTTTCACGTTCTGTTCCTCACTTGATTGAACATGCTTTCAGCTTCCCTCATCTGCACACACTTAGTGGCAGGGCAGTCAGGTCTACTCTTGTCTCAGAGAGGTTAACAGCTCATTATTAAAAGACGTTGTGCATTCTGAATTTTAGAACATAGGATTTTTTTGATTTTGAATTATGTGTCTGCCACCCAAGACTCTCTCAGTGGGTTCTTGAGTAACAGCTTCGTAATCAGGTGTAGTATTTCCTGCAACAGAATGAATGCATCTTTCCACTAAGTAGGACTAACAGAGACTACACATGACATGCATATATCCAGGATACCTTTTATAAGGCCACCTAAGTAAGCTCATTGGAAACCTTAATTTTGTTCTCTACTACAATAGTTCTTAGGCTAGGATTGGGGCCTGCTGCCCATTTCCCCAGTTCTATGCTGGGTTTTTGTCTGATTGAGTTGGCGTGGGTTTTGTGCATGTTGTCACCACTGTTGCAAGTCCATATGAGCAAGTTCCCAGGGGCCTGAAAGCCTGTTTCCTTATGTTCATGCATCAACCCTGGCTCTTACAATCCTTCTGCTCCTCTTCTGCAATGGTCCCTGAGCCATGAGTGGGTGAGGTTTAATATAAGAGTCTTATCCAGGGACACACACTCTGCAGTCTCTTATTTTCTTAAAACTTGGCCAGTTGTGGCCTTCTGTGTGCATTGCATTCTGATATACGAGGAAGCTTTGCTGGTGAGAGTTGAGGGGTGTATTAGTATTCTCTCTACCCCCTGTTCCACTATGTTCCATGAGCCTCAGTTGTTGAGGTTCCACTGTAGATGTCTCACCTAGGGCTGGGCATTCCTCAGACATATATTCTCTGCATGTGACCACGTATGGAACTCTGTAATAGCCCCTGTCTCTCTCCCCAGTACTGAGATTACATGTCACCACACTGTTTTTTTTTTGTTTTTGTTTTTGTTTTGGCCTTTTTGAGGCAGGGTCTCCCTGTAGCCCCAGCTA